CAACGGACGTCACTGCCGCTGTCCATTAAAACACCACGGCCAAAAACCTCGTCCTTCTCCTTCTCAATCTCCTCCTTAAAACAAGTAAGTTGTTCATGTTCTGGCTCTGGTACGAGAGGAACTTTAAAATCTCCAGGTGCTCAATGCTGCGTCCATGTTTGGACAACTTCCGTAAACACAGAGACGCTCACTGTGGTTGACGTCATTGTGTCTCCAGTGTCACATGCGGGACACTTTCGGGCTGTTTAACGTTCACACTGGAGTCACATACAAGTCGCATTTAATTGGAAATGTGAACGACCTCGCAAAAACATCGGATTTCACAAAAAAATCTGAATTGAGCGTTAAGCCCTGCAGTCTGAACGTAGCCTTAGATTGTGTTGTTGTGATGAATATACTGTAGCCTTTTCAAAACAAAAAGCAACATGCTGATCTATATATGTGATGTGTTAGATGTTAAAGAGCTTCTGTTGTGTAAAACCGACTCCTGTGAGCGTTAAGTTGAGTTATAACAAGCTGCCTCCTCACCTGTGCTCTGTACGCAGTGTCGACAGACCCACCAACATGATTCGGGTTGTATTATTCTGTATGGAGCTGCCAATCCTGACAGCAAATAAATTCAGTGCGGACGATTAAGCTGTTTTAAATCCTCCAGAGAATCAGCGCAGTGTGACGTGTTGGTGCTCATGAAAAGTGAACATTTTACACAAATGGACTGACTTGGTCATATGTGGCCTTCACGAGATGTGGGAAAGATGATCCTCTCCACTTGCTAATTCATGTAATTCATTCATTATTCATCATCATTCATCGCTAATTCATCAACCAAACAATAGCAGTATTTTTTTTAAAATGACAGTAAGAGTAAATGGTGATGTTATTAAAATGCTTGTTGATGTCATAAAAGGATGTTTACCGCAGCATTATGTAGGCCACAAACTAACAACTCACAGCAGCAGAGAAGGATTAACAGAATGCAGCACTTAGGGGTTAGGGTTAGGGCTTCAGGTTTAGGGGTTAGAGGTTAGGGTTAGGGTGGGATTAGGGTCAGGGGTTAGGGTTAGAGTTTAGGGTTAGAATTTAGGTTTAGGTTCAGTTAGGTTAGAGGTTAGAGTTTAGGTTTAGGTTTAGGTTAGAGTTTAGGTCTAGGGTTTAGTGTTAGTGTTTAGGGTTTGTGTTTAGGTTTAGGGTTAGAGTTTAGGGATGGGGTTAGGGTTAGTTTTAGAGTTCAGGGTTAGAATTTAGGTTTAGGGTTAATGTTTAGGTTTAGGATTGGGAGTTAGTGTTATTGTTTAGTGTTAGGGTTTAGTGTTAGTGTTTAGGGTTAGGGCTTAGTGTTTAGGGTTTAGTGTTTAGGGTTAGGGTTAAGGTTTAGGGTTAGTTAGTGCTCACCTTTCACTGCTCTCTGCCATGTTGAGACGTCAAAGTTTCTCTCATCTCGGCAGCTCGTGTATCATAAAACTCTTCCAGCGTTCCAGTGGAAATTACGTCGTGAGCGGGTGTTCATGTGCAACTTTGATGTCACTTTTTGTTATTTACAATAATTACCACAAGACGCGAGGGCACAAATATTTAAGATGCAAAACTTTTCTCAAATTCTCCATAGAAATAAACGGGATCCTCTTTGAACCCGAAGAGCCTCCACAAAAGATCACGGTTTACGAGCGTTTCGAGACGAACGTGGTCAAGGCGGAACGAGGCAGATACTGTTTTTTATCTTTTGTATGTGAAGCCCTTTGTGACCTACAGCGTGTCTGTGAAAAGCGAAGGAGAGAGAAAGGAGAAAAAGAGGAGGAGATGGAAAATAGAGAGACGATCGGGCAGATAATGTTGGAATGACAAATTACAAAACTGTTGAAGTGTAAGAGAGAAAAAAAGAACTTTATTCACAATCAGAATTTTTGTTTATAATGAGCGTGTCATCGAAACACTCGTTCTTTCACTCTCTTCTACACTCTAGCTCTTTTACTCTCTTTCCTCATCTCTTCTCACTCTCCTTTCTCCTTCTTTCTCACTCTCCTCCCTCTCTTTCCTCTTTTTATTGTCTCTGAGTTGCTCTTTCTCCTTTTCCTCTCTCCCTCGCTCCTCTGTTCATGTCTTTCTCCTGCCTCTTGTTCTCTCTCTCTCGCTCTCCTTTGTTCCACCCTCTCCTCCCTCGCTCTTTCGGTCAAGGATGCACCACTCATCAATTTGTTGGTCCTGCGGGTGACAAGTTTATTAAACACTGGAGAGAGAGAGAAGGATGGAGATGGAGAGGGGAAGAGAGAGAGAAAGAAAGAGAGGAGATAAGGATGGAGATGGAGAGGAGAGGGGAAGAGAGAGAAAGAGAGGGAGGAGAGAAGGATGGAGATGGATAGGGGAGGGGAGAGAGAAAGAGGGAGAAGAGGGGAAAAGAAAGGGAGGAGAGAAATAGAGAGAGAAGAGGCTGGAGATGGAGAGGAGAGGGGAAGAGAGAGGAGAGAGGGAGGAGAGAAGGAGAGGAGGATGAATATAGAGAGGAGAGGAAGGAGAGAGTGAGAGGCAGGAGAGGAGGATGGAGGTGGAGAGAAGAGGGGAGGAGGGGAGGAAAGAGAGAAAGAGAGGGAGGAGAGAGGGAGAGGAGGATGAAGCTGGAGAAGAGAGGAAGGAAAGAGAGAGAGGCAGGAGAGAAAGTTGGAGATGTGAGAAGAGGGGCAGAGGGAGGAGAGAGAGGAAGAGGAGGATGGAGATGAGAGAAGAGGGGAGGACATAGACGGAGGAGAGAGAGAGGCGTGAGAGGAGGATGGAGATGGAGAGAAGAGGGGAGGAGAGAGGACATAGAAGTAGGAAAGAGAGAGAGGGAGAGAGAGAGAGTAGTGAAAGAGGAATGAGGAAGAGAGAGAAAATGAGAAATAGTGGAGAGAGAGAAAGGAGGAAGAGAGAGAGAAAGAGAGAGATAGTAGAGAGAGAAAACAGGACGAGAGAGAGAGTGGAGAAAGAAAGGAGAAAGAGGAGAGAGCGAGAGAGATAGTGGAGAGAGAAAAAGGAGGAAGAGAGAGAGACAGCGAGAAAGAGATAAGATAGTGGAGAAAGATAAAGCAGGAAAAGACAGAAAGAGAGAGAGGAGAGGAGAGAAAGGAGGAAGGGAGAGAGAAAGAGAGATAGTGGAGAGAGAAAAAAGAGGAAAAGACAGAAAGAGAGAGAGAGAAAGGAGGAAGAGAGAGAGAGAGGGTGAAGAGAGAGAAAGGAGGAAAAGACAGAAAGAGAGAGAGAGAGTGGAGAAAGAGAAAGGATGAAGAGAAAGAGGGAGATAGTGGAGAGAGAAAAAGGATTAAGAGAGAGAGAGAAAGAGAAAGGAGGAAAAGACAGAAAGAGAGAGAGAGTGGAGAAAGGGAAAGGACGAAGGGAGAGAGAAAGCGAGATAGTGGTGAAAGAGGGAGAAGAAAGAGAGAGAATATTATATTTTGTTTTGAATTGTTAATCATGACTTTCCATAAAAGCCCAAAGTTGCTGTGAAGATGCCGACTCTTCACTCTTTCCTCTCTTTCTCTCTCTTCCTCTCTCTCTTCTCTCTCTTCCCCTCTCTCTTTCTCTCTCTTCCTCTCTCTTCCTCTCTTTCTGCTGCATTAGGCATTACCTTATTGACACGTTTGATGGATTCATTCTTTTTTCCTCTTTTCTTCCTTCGGTCACGCTCCTCTTTTCTCCTCTTTTCTCCTCTTTTCTCCTCTCTCTCTCTTCTCTCTCTTTGTTTCCCCGTTCCCTTCTTCCTCTCGTCCTTTGTGATCCGGTGATATTCCACATTTCTTGCCGTTCGTGGAGTTTGGGGTCACAGATTAGCGGGGCCGTGTGGTTCCAAGGGCGCTCTCTCCTCCGATAATCCATAAACGCTGAGTCGTGTCTGCGTCTTCTTCCTGTTCTTTGATTTTGCACAGTCTGCGTGTGTGTGTGTGTGTGTGTGTGTGTGTGTGTGTGAGACGCTTTCACTCACAAATGCTCGACACTAGAGTTACAACACGATGCTCACATGTGCTTCTCATCATTCTTCATTTTACTGATTTATTTTTTACCTTTTGCCCGAGTAAGTCCCATTTCTTCACAGGAAAACGATAAAATAAAAAAAAAATTAAAAAAAAAAAATTAAATAAAAAAACAAATAAAAAATAAAATAATAATAATAATAATAATAATAATAATAATAATAATAATAATAATAATAATAATTGTGTATGAGCTTCTCTGTGTTTCCTGTGTTTCTCAAACTGTGGTAGGCGTCCCCCTGGTGGCACACGGGGCCCACTGCAGTCTCAGTATTTGTTTCATTAAACAATGGGCTTAATATGATTTAGAAGAATTTGTGTGTCAGTCGTTCATTTGTTTTTCAAAATAAAATGAAAAATAAGAAAATGAAAAAATAACAGTTTTCTTCATTATTTATTGCAAAAAACAAAATGAAAAACATAACGAATTGTTTTTTTCAGTTTTCAATCGGCCGTTTCCAGTTTCTGTGACTTAAACTGCGATGCTGCACTTTTGCGCCACATATGGACTGAACCAGGACTGAACCAGGACTGAACCAGGACTGAACCAGGACTGAACCAGGATCAGATCAGGACTGAGACTGGGAGAAGACCGAGACCAGACTGTGATTGAGACTGGAACCAGACTGGGCCCAGATTGGGACTGAGACCGGTTTAGTCCTGGTTTATTCCTGGTTCAGTCCTGGTTCAGTCCTGGTTCAGTCCTGGTTCAGTCCTGGTTCAGTCCACAAGTCCAGGGTGGCAGTTTAATCGTTTTTTGTTTTTGTTTTTTTTCCACCATTATTCATTGAAACACAAAATCAAAAACTAAAAAAAAAATAAAAATAAAAATTCCCCCCCCTTAAATGAACGAGTGATAGACAGATTTAGAAGTACCTTGTCTGTGCTTTGATCTCACTTTGGTCTTGGTTTAGTTCTGATTTAGACCTGATGTAGTCCACGTTTAGATCTGAAACTTGAATCTTCTCTAATCATTTTCTTCTCTTTTCTTTCTCGTTTCAGGTTTCAACCCAGATTCAACCAGATTACCTCCTCGTCTCCTCTCCTTGTCTCCTTATCTTCCTGCCTCCTCCTTCCCTCGTCTCCTCGTCTCCTCTGCTCTTGCTCTTCCCTCAGTGTCCTTGAATGCTTTGCTAAAGCTGGTAAAATGGAACCAAATCAGCAGTTGAATGGATTTGGTCCCCTTCAACCAGCTGTAGCTGTGCATTAATCTGCCTCTGACACGCCCCTGTCGCACCTGTCAGGAGACGCACCTGTCAGGAAGTCAACATCAAGGAAGATTGTAAAGGTTCAGTAATATTGTCTGTGGACTTTTCACAACATTTCGGTGTGTTTGTGGATGTTATGACCCGGGTGAAGCATGTTAAAGAGGACACAGGAGGTGAAAGGGTTACGAAAGTAAAGTTGTTTTATTTTTAAGTCCATTTTAATTTACTTTAAAAATGCTAAAACCACTCATGTGCCCAAAAACAAAGTAACAACAGAAAGCTGGACCTGGTGTACCAAACTCGTACAGGGACGTAGAAGCAAAGAAACAAGCCATCGAAACAAACATCCCCAAACTATTTTGACCAAACCAAAAGGTGAAAACAGGACAGCGCCCCCAACAGGTCAAACACAAAAGGCTCACAGGCAGGTGCAGCCAAGGCAGGGAGCGCACAAGGTGACGAACGAAGAGCGAGGCGGCGCACAGCGAGAGCGCCAGAGCGAGCAAGAGTACGCCACTGATAGTCGGCCTATTTATACGACGACCAGCCACGCCACAAAACAAACATAGATATAAAAACACACAGTAGGATGCAGAAAGGAGAGTCAGCACCTAATGATGGAAAACATTTGGTTCAGTGAGGTGTAAATGTAGAGCAGCGTTTAAAACAGCAGGAGGAGGAGGAGGAGACGCTCTGCTGCCTCTGGAACTAAAGAGAAGATATATCAGAGTTGACAAATGTGTTCTCTGCATTTGACCCATCCTTCAGTGTCTCTGGGCTAAACTGTCAGGAGCAGATCTGAGCTGAGGATTTGACCCATTGTGCAGTGAAATACAAATATACCGTCTAGTGCAGGGGTGTCAAACATACGGCCCGGGGGCTAGATCCGGCCCTCCAAGACCTTTAATCTGGACCTCGGCTGATTTTCTACTAAAATATTTGAATTATATTTTCTATTAAAATATTGGTAATTTTCTGTGGTGTTTATCATAGCAGCATCTCCAGTGTCTCTGTACGTGGCCCCTCCCACCAGAGCAGCACAAATGAAGACTTGTCTCTTTCCAAACGCTCTTAAAGGACGATCGTTTTGACTGTTGACCGTGACACCCTCATCAACAAAATGACAAAAATGAGAAAAGTGGAGCCAAGTGCAGGATCTTCCAAGAAAAATTGACTTCCTATTTACATACAAGTTCATGTTAAAACATTGTGTTGAAATTACATTTTTCTTAAAGTTTCAGGTTGTTCATAATATTATAATATTTTGTAAAAGAAAGAGTTCATCGATTAAAAAGAGATTTCTGTAACAGATTTGTGTTTCTCTGCACAAATATTTGAACTTATTGTTATTTTGGGGGTTTATATGACATGAGTTTTCTGATCCGGCCCCTTTGGGATCAAAGTCAGTTGGATACGACCCCTGGACCAAAATGAGTTTGACACTCCTGCTCTAGTGTCTTTATTATAATGCAAACCAAATGCTCAAAACCTCATGAGATTTCTGACCATTTCACTGTTTAAATGACAAAAACGTCCATGGAGCATCATGGTCACGTTAACCGCGCTGCTAATTCATCTTTTTAAATTGCTGTACTTTACAAGTTTTACCAGCAGGGGGCATTAGACGCTATTCCAAGAAATCAAAAACTGTGTAACTTTTCTGGAGGAGGGTCTGTCAAACGCTTTTTCTGTGAAGATATTGTTGCTTTTGTCTGAAATGTTTCACAGTATGGCTTTAAACCTTTCAATCTCCACGGAGACCAAACTAGACCCAGTTACAGGTCAGGTCTGTGGAGAGGCGACTCCGCTCACAGTCAGAATGTTAGATTTTCTAGGTATTTTTGAGCTATAAAACCACCTGTAATTGAATAAATGTAAAGTAGAGCTGTTTAATGTCACACTGTGGAACATTTCAGGTAGAGTAATGACATCTCCATAGAAACAAACAGGTTACATAGTGCACCTTTAAGTTACAAACATGGATTTCCGTACAATTTCAGGAATCCAAAACAATGGGAAAAGTCACAAACAGTAAAAATCTGTGACTTTAATTAGTTTCATACAAAAGCACTGGAGCGAGGAGCTGCATTTGACCTCAAACTTCAAATGTATTTATCTTTATCAGACAGATTACCCAGAAGGCAGTGCAGGTTCGTTAAAGGGAGGTGTAATTACAGAGATCTCCGTGGAAACGCCTTGTGTTTGGCTCGTGTTAATTACATTGTTCAGAGATTTGTTTGCCCTGAAGATTTTCCACAGTAAATCCTCTCTTCTTCTTCTACTGTTCTAATGTGAGTGTGTGAGTGTGTGTGTCTGTGTGTGTGTGCGGGCTGTGTGTAGACTTTACTGTGCCGCTCTGGTCAAAAGTCATTTTTATAATTTGCACACGTCCCTTGGCATTTTGTTTCATCTGATAATGAAACTTGAAATGGTCCAGTTTGTGAAGTGAAGTGCTTTTAAACAGAACATTTCCAGACACTGTGTATTGTAACTGTTTAAGACTCATTTTTGTGGTACAGTCGACAAAAACTGAACTCAAATGCAAGAGTAAAAAATATCTGGGGAAATTACTAACTAAAAAAGTAACTGTCTGGACATAAGTGAATGTAATGTGAAAGAGGAAGTATTCAATAAATCTGGTGTTGTCAAAGGACAGATGCAAAAATGAGACAAACTAAATGATTTCTGAAGAAGCTGCAACAAACACAAATGTTCAAATCAGTTCATATTGTCACATAAAGCTTTTGTCACTTTAGACTCACAGTGGGAAGAGGAAGCACAACCTTTACTCAGGTAAAGGCCGTCACACACTGCAGGAGAATTTGGCTGATTTAGGCTGCGATTTGCTTCTCGGTGTCAGTGTGACTTTGAGCTGCTCTGTCATATTGTAACAGTAAAACATCACAATGGCAACAGCCAATAAAACGGAGTGATAAACACAGAAGGGTAAATAGTGAAATAGCAAAAATAATTATTACTGTTACGACCCAGCTCGTTTGGGGGTGAGAGAAGTAACATAAACAGCTAAGATGGAAAAATTGAATAAATTAAATAATGTTTAATTAACAGGAATGTAAAAGGTAAATTAACAAAAGACTAAAATATACAGAAAATAACCTAAACTAAGAAACAGAACAACAGAATAAACTGAGTTTTGTGCCACAAAAGGAGTCACGCAGGCTTATACAAAACCAGTGGTTAACAAAGGGACACACACTAAACCAAAACACAAGTTCCCCAAATTAAACCACATAAACCCACAAACAGAATCGAGTGACCAAATAAAAAAAAGGCACAAAACAGAACTAAACTAAACTACACACACAAACACAAAACCAAAATGGCAGACTGGCCACCAAGACCAGCAGCCCTGAACTGGTGCTGGCAATTTCCTTAAACAGGGGGCAGTGGCTGCAGGTGAGGTGGGTGTAGACTTGCCCCACCAATCATAAATTAGGGCTCCTGCAGCAGTGGGAATCGAGGTGTGTCAGCAGAATAATTTAGATCACACAAAACAAATTACAATCTAAGGCCTGGGGCCGTAACAATTACTCACTATTAATCAGTTGTTTATTTAAAGTGCAGCATCTCATCCATATTATCTACAGAATTTGTCATCTGCAAATAATGACCCCAGTCCACAAAACCTCACTGTGAATCCAGTTTGAAGTGTTCTTCAAAAGTAAAAAGGCAAGAGTAGTTCCTCACGTGTGTCTGTTTCCATCCACACAGTCGAGTCAGCTTCAGGGTGAAGCTCGAGACTCTTCTTCCTCAGTACTTTATCATCAACTTTCTGTGCATTAAAACTCGCGCAGCTGAAGTATTGCACTGAATTTCACAAATAATAATAACACAGATTTGATCTAAACTAAAAGTGCAGAGCTCTGATCTTTTGGAGCGAGTGGTTTTACTGCACTCACAACTGTGTTTTCTGTCTCCAAGGCTTTATTCAGCTGTTTTCTTTATGATCAGAGATTTAAAATCTCATCTGATTCTCCTCGTGTCTCTGGTGAAATTGTTTAAAAAGTAAAAATACTCTTGTGTCTAGCAGCCTTAACAGTACTGTTACACTGTACATTATATTACTCAACTAAGAATACTTTAATGAATATTGTGACTTCAAATTATGATGTTGTGTCTCATCACAAACAGAGCTGGAGTTGTGTTTTTTTTTCATTCACACATGTTTAACACACATGATGTTGTGTGACGTCATGTGCTGAGACAGGAAGTGCTCCACCATTTATTTATTTATTTTTTGTCATTCACTTTTTATTGGATTTTCATCTTTTATAAGGACACATATTAAAAATAGACAACATTCAAACAGTAAGAACAAAACAAAACAAGACAGTGGGGGTAGATATAAAGACAACTACGTCATACAAAGTCGGGTCTTTTTGTCCATTTGGACCAGTAGGTTTCAAATATATCACTCTGTAGCTTCAATTTAAATGTAATCCTTTCCATTTTAAAAATATTATATATCAAGTCAATCCATTCATTTATTGTAGGCGTTTCCTGTCTAAGCCATTTTTGAGTTATTCCTTTTTTGGCAGCCACCAGTAAAAGTCTCATTCAGTATAAATCTGCTTTAGAAAGGTGCGTGCTCCACCATTTTTAAACTCGTCATTTGGATAATGAACTAAAGACAAAAGGAGCTGTTCACTTGAAAACCACCACTTCATGACATCACAAGGTGGAGCAGAGCATTTTGAGCTTTGGAGATATAGACAGACTAATAAAAAAGAGTTATTCAAACATGTGTGAATGAAACAAAAGATCTTTAAAGTGCGTTCACACACACACATGATTTTATCCTTTTCTAATAATGTACTGCCGGATGTGTGCAGTGTCTAAATCGATTTCTCGTTGTTGTGTTTGCTGCAGAACGCCTGGACTGAAGGGGACTGTAGACCAGAGCGGATATTGTGTGTAACATGAGCGCACAACAGCACACGTGTGTATTTCATGTCCTGTTCATATCAAATCAATAAAAGCTCCTCTGGACACATGTTTGAAACCAGCCTGGTCATTTCTAGAGGTCAGAGGAGGCGGGGGGCAAGGGCACGAGAGGAGGGCAGGGAAAGAGTCATACATGCACAATTAAAGATTGGAAGAGGGATACACAAGTGAATAAATACATTCAAATAAATACACACACGCTATTTTTTCCTTACAGAGTGATCATGAGTTTTATGTCCTCTGACTTTTTCTTAATCAACTTATTTTTTTTGCCAGACAGGAAGGTAATGCTTCAATCAAGGACACAGGAGCCACACAAGCCAATCAGATCCAGGGCTTTTGTAGTCCACCAATCAAAAGCGAGGACTCCCACAGCACACACACACACACACACACACACGCACACACGCACGCACGCACACACACGCACACACATACACACACACACACACACTACAGGAGCTGAGGTGAGGGGTTGTCCCGCATTAGTTTTCAGGAACATTTGGACATGTGATCATGACCGTGTACACGCTGCTGTATTAGCGTTGTCATGGTGATGAAGCAGCTGGTGAAAGGTCCAGATTAAATGGAATATAAATCTAAATATTAATCTCACTGTAAAATGAAAGAGACGTTCCTGAAACAGATTTTCTACAAACAAACCCCGAGCAGCTCTTATGGATGAGTCCAACAAACGCTTCATCCTCTGTCCTAACACACGTGCACTACTGAGGCCTGTTTATGCTTTCCTCCCTCCTTTCTCTCTTGCCTTTCTCCACCTTTCTCTTGTCCTTTCTCTTGTCTTCTCTTGTCTTCTCTCTCTCCTCCCCTTTCTTTTCCTCTCTCTCCCCTCTCTTGCCTCAGGCGGGGAGTTCTCAGGGAGAACCTGCTCTCATCTGTGAAAGCTCAGGGCACCAGAGGAGGGTTTGTCAATTCTGGTGTCGTTTAGCAAATGCCAGTGGAGCTCCATGGTGCTGGGTGGTGAGCACAGCACCCACTACAGGACATGACACCCTCAAACCATCCTCATGAAGTCTGTGTGTGATTGTTTGAGCAGAGACATTCACACCAGTGTCCTGCTGGAGGTCATTCTGTAGGACACAGGCAGAGCTCAGCCTGTTCCTCCTGCACAAAGGGGCAGATATGGGTCCTGCTGATGGGTTCAGGACCTTCTACGGCCCTGTCCAGCTCCTGAAATCTCCTCCATGTTCTGGAGATTGTGCTGGGAGACACATTTGGGGATGTGCCATCCTGGAGAAGCTGGACAATCTGTGCAGCTTCTGTGGGATTAAAGAACAGCCTCATACTCCCAGTAGTGATGATCACTGAAGCCAAAGCAGCACGAGTGGAAAACCAACCAAAAATCACCAAGAGGGAGAAACTTGAAGTGACCTCCCTATAAAACCAGTCCTGTTTTAGGGCTTGTCTCATTGTTGGTGCTCTAGTGCACTTGTGGTTCATTTACATTAAAAGAGGAACATCCTTTTGTTCTTAAGACATTGAGCTGTTCTTATTTCTATAGATCCAGTTATATAAATTATACTACAGAGTGACTTTTAATATAGTATATATAAGCCGCACCAGACAAAAAATGTGTAATAATCTATTGTTAGCTATAGTTCTCTTCAGATAAAGATATAGTTATGTTTAGATAACTATAGCATAAACAACAGAACAAGTTTAACAAACTCTCCATCTCACTCCAAATCACTAAATCCATTCAATTCTTCATCCTCGGTGTCACTTCTGAACAACTCCACGACGTCTGGAGGTAAACAGAGCGCCGCTTCCTCTTCTGTGTCGCTGTCGTCAGACTCAGCATCAGTTCCAATTAGAATTATTCGGGCCTTTCTGAATCCTGACAGGATGGTTTCGGTGTCATTGAAGTCCAGGCTTTGTCGATTCATCCAGTGACTTCCAGGAAAGTGGCATGCTGCATCCTCCCGCTTGCCGTGAAGCTGAGTTCTCCATCCCCACTTTCCTCCAGTCCCTCACAAGTTTCTCTCTCACTCCAAACTTTCTTCTGCTGCTTGATTATGACTGTTTTCAGCTGCAGATTTCACTACTTTCAGCAGGACAGCGGCTTTTTCTGCAGGAGACATGCACAGTAGAGTGAGAAGTGACAATAGTACAGTAGTAGCAGATACTGACACACAAGCCTAGAGCCTCTTTTGTCTATCAGTGTGAAAATTTTAATATGTAAGTCGCACCGGAGTATAAGTCGCATGAAACACCCAAATATATATTCACACTGAGATCTGATGTGTTTTCTAAGTGATCCTTTTTTGAGCAGTTTATTTATACGATGTGTTCATATTTATCAAAAGTGCTCAGTTGTTTCTGCACACATTCTCTGAGCTCCGATGTATTCATTTGTGTGGAGACAGTTCCAGCGGATGGAGCAGAGCTGGTGTGGGGCTGGGAGACAGAGCGTGAGATTTGCAGTGGAGCGTTCACAAACACAAACATTACAAAGCGCAGGACGGTGTTTACAGAGCGTCTCTACAGAACTCTATTCAAATGCATCACAATTACAAGAGAAGCACGAGCCAAAGTGAGCGGGGCCATCCATCACGGAGCTGTTTATCCACCTGCGATTCTCTCCAGTGTAAATGTGTGTAAAGGCCACGCACAGTGAGGAGGGTGAGGAGTGTGAGGAAGGAGGGGAGGGGGATATAAGACCACCGATGAGCGCAGGATTCTAATGACAAAACTAATAAAAATCCACTTTAGAAATGCAAATGATCCAGCCCAGGCTCCAGAACACAAACTTCTGCAAACCTCTGTGAAGATGTGAGTCTGGTCACCACTGAGTCTTCCTTAGTTCCAGTGGGTGTGATTGACAGGTGGATTAGCCAATCAGGGACAGGGATGGTCCATGTGTAGAAAAATAAATACATTTAAAAATGAATAAATAAAAAAGGGAAAAAGAACAGACAAAAAAATCACAGGGACACAAGGATTTCTGCAGAATCAATAGACATATTTACATTATGTATTGTTTTTTTTTTAAATTCCGAATTAATTGAATGAATTAAGAATTAAAATAAGGACATGGAAATAAGAATTCCGAATTGAGGTTTACATGGAAAACATGTTAAATCGCCTTTATTTCCGCTCAACGTCTGGGGGCGGGGAAGGGTTCTGATTGGACAGAGACACAAACGTATTTACGTTGGCTGGAAGAAAACACACACTTGAGCTGCTACTGGCTTTTCTGTCATCTTGGTTTGTCGTTACTCCACAGACACAAACATGATCCAAACCTTTTCCGCAGTGGTTCTGATGATAATTGCGCAGCAGCTGGAGAATTCTCTCATCACACTTTACGTCTGTCAGCTGAGGAGGAGAAGGGAAGAGTGTCGGAGAAGGAGGAAGAAGACAAAGTGAGTGTGAGGCTGTTCTACCTCAGCCCACTCCCACATCCCACTCACAAATCCAAAGAGACGTGGAGGAAAGTCTGAAGACAGGACTGGTGGAGCCGGATCGTCTGGATCGTGTCAGAAGAGCGACACAACGAGCATGAACTGAACCACCGACATTATTTTTAAGAAGAATGAATGTGAAACATGATCGAGGAAGAAATTAATTTGATTTTAAAATCGGAAAAAACACCCACTTAAGTTTACTTCCAAATAATCATTTTCATTACGAATTAAATGTTTATGGTCTTTTTAAATTGGAATTAATTTTTATTCTATTAAAGCTCTCATGTAAATGTGGCAAATGAAACTCTAAACTCTGTTCATCTGAAGACAGAAATGCACTTTTTTTTGTAAATGATGGTGACCAATCAGAGAGCTCATGACCATAGGTGAGGGGAGGAACGGAGATTGACCGTAAATCGAGAGCTTGGCCTTTGGATTCAGCTCCTCTTCACCACAACGGTCCGATACAGCGACCGCATCACTGCACCGATCCACCTGTCAATCTCACGCTCCATCCATCCAAGATACTTGAACTCCTCCTCTTGAGGCAGGGCATCTCCACACACCCGGAGAGGGCAGGACACCTTTTTCCGGTCGAGAACCATGGCCTCGGATTTGAAAGAGCTGATCCTGATCCCTGCCGCTTCACACTCGGCTGCAAACCGCCCCAGTGTGCCCAAGTGCTGCAGTTTATTTCACTATTCTGCCCCTAAATCAAGAAATGAACATTAATAAGAGACCAGTGAGCTGCTCTTTTTAGCTCCACACTGTTTTCTACATGATCCATAAGTGAAAGAACAAACATAGTGCATCCTGAAAGACTCCACAGCTCAGGAATTGCACCCACAACCTTGTTGTTATAAGAGTCAATTTATAAATTACATCTATGATGGAAAATGGCCCTCTGGGAAATACTAAGTGCCCCTCTGATCCCGCCCCACAGACACAGCACATAAACCTCGATTATTTCACCACTTGAGTCTCCGAACAGAAACCACTCTATTTCAAATCACTCAGGGAAGTTCAACTTTAACGGAAATGTGCTCAGGTCAAACACTGGATATGAAGACTAAACCAGGACTAAACCAGGACTAAACCATGACTAAACCAGGACAAAACTGGGACCAAATCGGGACTAAATTGGGATTAAACAAGGACAAAACCAGGACTAAACTGGGACTAAACTGGAACTATACTGGGTCTAAACTGGGTCTCAGTGCTCGTTGATCAGTGTCTGGCCGCAGACAGATCGTGCTCTTGTGGAGGAGATGACAGAGATGAGGAAAGCTCGAGTGTCTCAGATAAGGGCGTATTTTTACAGCTCCATTTATTTCTCAGCCCTGACGCTGGAGCAGGAGCCGGGGGCAGAAACCGCAGTGTGGCTTTAGTACAGAGGACACAGGACGCAGTGTAAAAATGGAGGAAGAGGGTCTGGTATCGCGGCATAGACGTTTGACTTCCTCTGCTCCGTTCTCTTTGGTGGTCAGGGCGGATGGGTTCTGATGCATTGTAACGTTCCACAAAATCAGATATCATGAACGTTTGTGTTTGATTTGAATTTAAATGAAGTGAGTTTTAAAGTATTTTACAGTCGTCCCTCACTATATTGCGGTTCATC